GGTGTCATGGCCATCGTAGCTTCAATGAGGGCTAAATCAACCATGGACACCACCTCCAGGCACATGAGAAATAGGGACTCCATGGCAACAGTTGGACCTGCAACATAATGAGCCTATTTTAAAACAGACTCGCTTTAAGGACCACTTCTACTGGGCAACGAGCGGAAGGTTGTGGACGGAGGAGGACAGACTTCTATCTTCGATGTTGCAGAAAATCACTTTGCCCTCGAATAAATGTGTCCTCACTTCTTCGAAGAGGTGTGGCAATGTAATTGAGGAGGTTATAAAAAAAATTCTTCGGCTTTCTCAAAATTTGGAAATCCACACGTGACCAAAATGACTGTGTCTTATAAAATTATATCTCAACGTCTTTTCAGAATATACTTTAATCGTCAAAAGGAAATTTTAACAACATACATCGAGCAGGACTTAATCCTATGATAGGTTATATAACTTTTCAACTACATAAATGATTAATATAGTAATGGTTACAACTTATGTAAAATCTGAATAAAATATGACACTCGGATATGGGTATCGTAAAAAAGTTATAAGGATTACAATGCTTTTTCGCATATATGAGAAGAGTCATTTCTTTTTGAATTGAAAAACGAGTTCATCAGCGGCAGCTCTTTATATTCGTCGTTCAAGTTCGTTGAAGAACGCTGCGAAAAAAAAAAGAAATCCAAATGCATTCTTCGGACGCCTTGAAAAAAATCGATTCGAGGTCATGTATCACATACTTTACCTTCGCATCGCTCGTGAATATAGCTCATTGCGTTTGCTATTATCCTTTCTTCTTCTCTCGTTAAAACGACTGGTTCTTTTACTTGCTGCGCCAATGTGCTCCGATTGCACTGCACGTCAGATCTTTCCAAACTAACCTCATTTTCGAACCCGCGAAATCCTTTTGAAGAGATAAAAAGAGGAACGATGAGGAGACATCTATTGTGCAATTCACAACACAATTATTGATAATTGTCAATGATATGAAGTCACTTACCGTCCACTTCATCACTATCGTCCCAAATCATGGTTACTTGTGATGAAATGGACTCTGCGTCATCATCTTCTAAATCCATGGCAGAATAGCAGAAGTTCCTCTTTTTGACTGTCTACCATCCGCAATAATGTGTCGCCAATAGTCTTTCTTGCAAGCTGAAAAGGAACACCGGTCAACTTTTCCATGGCCGAATAAAAGCAATTGCCGTAGGCCTTTTCTATTTTTCATCGTCAAACACAATGACATCGGGTCGTGCAAATTTTATTGCAACCTAATAATGAAGCCAATTTATAACAAATACAGCTACATTGAAAAGTTTTGCAATTGACGCAGAAACTTACTGGTTTGTACATTAATGTACCGATGTATAGGAAAATTATCATACGAGTGGTCTTAATCTACTCCATGTCTTCACTGGGAAGCTCCTCCCCATCCGGCCCCGTGTTGGAGTCCACCGGGGCCACCGTAACCACCCGGGTGGGGACATATGACGCGCAAATGGGTACGGGGGCCCTGACGGACGCCGGAGTCCTGATGAGGATGATGGGGGGCGTTTGGTTAATGAGGCTGATTGTGTTTGTGGTTGTGTCAGTGGGTGCAAAGCCGTCGCCTGCGAAGATTTTGAGGCTGCGCTCGACTGTGACATCTGTGTAGCCTTGGCCGCTGGGGGAGGAGTGGGTGCACCTCCGTGAAGCTGGCAGAACCCAATATTGCACAATTGATCGGACATGTCTCAAAAAATTGAGCACGAATTGAGCAATCGATTGCACTATACCGTTTTAATTGTGCGTTGAAACGAAGGTCATAATCTACCACAATCGTTCTCCCAGGTAACACTTATCAGCAGTGCCCAATCGACCTTCGTTTCAACGCACAATTAAAACGGTATAGTGCAATCGGTTGCTCAATTCGTGCTCAATTTTTTGGCACCTGTCTCGTTGCTGTGGCACGATTGGGCGCTGCTGGTAAGTGTTACCTGGGAGAACGATTGTGGTGGATTATGACCTTCGTTTCAACGCACAATTAAAACGGTACAGTGCAATCGGTTGCTCAATTCGTGCTCAATTTTTTGGCACCTGTCTCGTTGCTGTAGCACGATTGGGCGCTGCTGGTAAGTGTTACCTGGGAAAACGATTGTGGTGGATTATGACCTTCGTTTCAACGCACAATTAAAACGGTATAGTGCAATTGGTTGCTCAATTCGTGCTCAATTTTTTGGCACCTGTCCCGTTGCTGTAGCTCGATTGGGCGCTGCTGGCGTGAACCCAGCAGAACCCAATAGCAAGATGCTGTAAGTACTGTTCCGAGCATGCACAAATAAATCGGTATAGTGCAATCGATTGCTCAATTCGTGCTCAATTTTTTGAGACATGTCCGATCAATTGTGCAATATTGGGTTCTGCCAGCTTCACGGAGGTAGTGGGTGCCACGGCTGCTGCGCTGTCCTTCCATGGTTAGGTTAACCTTGAATGAGTTGCCATCTCTCCCCATTAGCGTGGAGCGTAGGGGTGTCCGTCATCACCACATGCGTTAATTTTTTCGAGCGCCTCATCGCTGAGGCGCGAAAGAAGTGAAGGAAGAATAACTACGGATGAATCTCCACTGGGTGCAGCTACCTTCACTTTTAATTTTTGGCCGTGCTTCGTGTCTATCCGCTCGATGTTGAGGAGGGAGTGGGGGCCTCCCTCGGGCAGAGAAGAAATTGCTCTTCAATTTCCCCGGCATCGAGGTCGTTCAATTCTCTCAGTGGGTCTGCGGCAGCCATTCTCTTCACTGAAATCACACACACACAAAAAAGAGTTAGTGACCCGAGTCTGGCATCGCCCTGTCGGCCTCCCGTCGCACCAAGGTGGAATGCACCGCGACGGCGTAGGTAAGCCCAGCGCCGAGGGAAGCCGGGACGCTGCAACAGGATGACCCGGCACTTTGACCCAAATGTGGAGCTGCCTGTCCGTGACGCTGCCGTGGGTCAGCGGCGCCGTGTAGAGGGCGGAGACATCGTCGACGGCCAGGCGGACGTTGGACAGGCGCGTTACCAGTGCTGACGCGGCTGCGCGGAGGCGCTCCACGGGTACCAACTGCGCGGACAGGTGCAGGCCTTCAGGCTATTTAGAGCAATGCTTGGGCTTGCGGGGAATAGCCCAGTTCTGGCCTGAGTGACCTTTTAGGTTTGAAGGTTTGTAGGGAATGAAGAAACGTGGATCATCTGATGTAACTTATGTGTTGCTCCGGTGTGTCCCAGACCTCCCTCGGACCGCTCTGTGCCGCTCAGATGGCACTTACCGACTGACAAGCTCTGCTCGGCCAGGCGGGATCGCAGCACTGTTGCTCGGTGCATTCTCGCTTACTGGACAATTTGGACTTGGGGTTCGGGCAGTGCCCTGTTGCGACAGAACGCAACAGCACTTGCCATGTGACTAAGGCAGGGGTCCCGAGAAGTCTCCGACGACAAGCTCGAAACAATCATGAGACTCCAGGGGGCTCAGTTGGCCGGGGCGACGGGGGGGGGCATTCGTAACCTTCTTCAGCAGACAGGCATGGCAGGTTGCGCAGTGCTGCTTGACGTCGGCCCGGCTGGAAGGCCAGTCGTACCGGCTGGAAGGCTAGTTGTACCGGCCCTAACCGGGGAGGTAGTAATTAGAACTTCTAACTTGATCACAAGGACATTTTTTTGAAGCTCATTTTTGTTCGTTTTGTCAGGGTGGCTCGTGCTTTTTGCTTGCCTCCCTGTTTGGTCTCTTAATGTTTTTGCTTCCTCAGAGATTTCTCTTCTGCCTGCTCTTCTGTTCTTCTTGATGTTACTTCAGGTCTTATTGAGTTTTTGGTAAAATTTTGATCGAGCTCTTGGGCACTCCTGCCCTTCGAGGGAAAAACCCTTGCCGGCAGGTTACCCCTGATGGATTCAGCATGCGGAGGAGTCGGGATGTTTGTTACTCCAGGTGTCTCTGCATCTGGAGCTGACACCCGGCTGAGCGCAGCTCAGATGGTCGGGAATACTCTCACGCACTTGCCCTAACTAGGGGATGGTAATTAAAAGTGAATTAACTTGATTGCACGTCACCAAACCACAAGCACTTATTACGAGGACTGTGCCTCCTGAGGGCCGGAACGCGTCTGCCCGCTCGGCGCCCGCTCTGGTCAGACTCGCGCTGCCCAGGGCGTCGCGCCGAGCGGTGATCGGATGTCATCGCGGCTTCCTCTCCAGTGCCCGCGGGATTTCAAACCTCCGCGGTTCCCCGACAGGAGGCATGCCTCCCAACTGAGGTTGCGCCCATCCGGGTAGGCACCCAGTACACACGGAGTGTGCATTAGGGTAGTGTGGAATTTTCCCCGCTTTAAAAAAACCCTGTATAGTGATCTTGTCCTCTATTCTTCTTGAAGCTTAAGTTCGAGTCGCACTTACAGGTCTCGGAGAGCGGTCTGGAGTTCTTTTGTCTTCGCCTCATCCGCCAAGATTGGTTGCTTCTTTGTTTTCTAAAATGCTCCTGCTCCAGGGGGCAGTCGAAGATTAGGTGCTGTGAAGTTTGTACTTCACCGCATTCGCAGCTTGGAGAGCTTATCTGGCCCGTTTTATGTAATTTCTCTTTAAGCGGTCCATGCCCGGTTAGAGCATGGACAATTTCTGGTTGAATTGCAGAATCTAATTCTTTCCTTGTTTGCAGGGTCGGGAAAATTTTGTGAGTTTCTTTGCTCTTTTCGCACGCAATGAATAAATACGGAATGAAATATGGAATAGTAGAATAAATGGGGAATAGAAACAAAGGAAAAACATATATGATATGGCTGAATAACAGATTTTAATAAATCATGAAAAGAGATTTTTTTTTACTGAAGCTGAATATATAATTTGATAAAAAAAAATCAAAAATTGCACTTGTAATATCCGCCCCTCGGGTCAGGGATATAATAAATTCTGCAACAAACAGATCCGCGATTTCAAAATTGCATTACTCATTGCAAAAGAAAAAGGGGAAATGGCAACATTCTTCACTCGCACTTACGTTTGGGTCTTTTGACCGTGTGCATTATACTGCGACAAGTGTGAATTTGCGTTCAAGCTGGGTGGCATCTGATTAACATATTTTTAACAAAATCAACTATCTTCAAAAATTCAAAAATACCGGCAATGATTCACAGATTGATGTGATAGCGCTTACGTTTGGTGTAGGCAATAGCACCTTTCTGGGCACCGATGGGATCGCCCTCGCACTGTCGGGGACCGCCCTAGCCGAAGCCAGAGCGGTATACCTCATGGCAAAGTTATATACTTGCTACAATATAAAAAGTAAAAACAAAGGTACACACAACAGTGTGAGCGACAAATTGGGATAAAACGCGAATCTTAAAACGGGGGAATAGCAATACTGTGTCTCACCTTTTCAATAGACTTATCCTTAGCGTGACGCAGGAAATCATCGATTTGCTTCTCGGTGGGGCGCATACCCGCCATTACAATGCAAAAATAAAGTAAATTTGTTGCCAACTTGCCAACTCTCGTCCCACTCTCGACTGGCTTCTTCTTCTGGGTTCGTCCATTGTTCATGAGTGGGTAGATATTGGTTTGCTTTGCTTGTCCTCTTTTTTGTAGGTATTTTATTGCTCTTGTCTTTATTTGAACACTGTAAAAAAAGTATTACTGAAATTTCATAATTTTAGTCTGAAGTTTTTAAACAGACTAGTGGTCTGAAAATTCAGAGTAATTATTCAGACCATTCTGTCTGAATTCCAAATTCAGACTACTTGTCTGAAAAACATTTTCAGACTGCTACTCTGAAATATTAAATAAAAGTGCCATCTATAAATCAAAGAGAAAGAAATCAACAAGAGAACAATATGAACCACCAACGTGTGACGGTACCTCCTTTCCACTTTTCGCTTGTTCGCTACGGCCCGGGTTCGAACCGGAACTTTTTGGTTACGAGACGAGCTCGGTACCACTGCGCTACGGGCGCTGCCTGGCGGCGGGGGAAGCCGTGCCGCGTGACTCTCTTCAGGGGATACCAGCTCCTTTCGGCAAGTCCAGAATGCAAGTTCGGACAACTCTTACGGTTAATCGTACACAGACGAATCTGCGTGAAGCACGGGTGTACATTATTATTTCCGATAAATTTATACAACGCCTTACGCCTAGACTTGATTAGTAGACAATCTGTCAACATTTTCATACCAAAATTATGAAAACAGGTTTCAGGATGACAAGTCTGAAAACTCTATCAGAATTTTCAGACCTTCTGCTTAAAATTCAGACTAACCGGTTTGATCTCAAATTTCAGAGTTCCTAGTCTGATAATTCAAAGCAACTTTCTGAATTACCGATTCAGACTGCAAAGTCTGAACAAATTGTACTGAAATTTCACAATTTTTTTTACAGTGAAGGTCTAGTGGCTGTATGTTTGCCACGATTTGTAAAGTCTCCACAGGGGTAGTGCTATACGCTCTAGTGAGCCTTCTGAGGACTTATGTTTAAGATATTTGCATTCTGTTTTTGATCTCCTTGATGTCCAGTCTCGAGAGGAACGAGGGGGCAGCGTAGCTGACAAGAGCCACGTAGATCGCCTCGTAGTATGTGAACACCCTCTTGGGGTTGATTTGGTAATGCCTCCTTGCCATTGAGACAATACTGTTGAAAATGCGCTCTGCTGTAGCGGTTATATATTTGACGTGCTGAAGGAAATTTAACTTTGTGTCAAGCATAACGCCCAGATACTTGAATTTCATTACATTGGGGAGCGTGGTCCCTTTGCTCGACTTAAATGACGCACTTGATCTTATCTCCGAATGAAGTTCCAACTCGCTCGAAGCTGGTAGTTTCATATGGGTGGAATCGTCGAAGAGTTGAGATGCTTGTAAAATCCTCCCCAGTGTTGAGATCAGCGAATGCGACCATGGTATTTTGCAGACGAGACGTGATGTCAGCAAGGACATTGTTGGCTGACTTGGGGGTGGACGATGATGAGTTGGCAGCCGTAGTTCTGAACACACAGACTAAGGGTACGCGCCGTTTAGTGTGGGCGCGTAGTGTGGCTGAGCAATGCGAATTTGTGCACTTCGGACTTTCCTTAAGTAGACGAAATGTGCAGCTTGTGGGCTCATATTGAGTGAAATGTAGATCTGGGGTATAAATGGAAGTGATTTTTGTTATCAGCACACAAAAAATTGTTAGGATCAACGTCAAACTCAATTCCAAAATTTGGGTCCAAAATTGTGTGTTTATTAGAGGTGACGTTTGTCCCCTGAAGTTCCATGTCTGCGTTAATTGAGTCAGCCAGCTGCTGGAGAAGTGGGAGGCGGTCGCGGAGGTTTCCTCTGATGTTATTGCTGAGGATTCGTAAACCCATTAGGCTACTAGGTTGATACGGCTCCTGTTGTGGCGGCGCGCACACGCCCACGCGCACGTTGCGTGAGAGTATACGCGATCGCACCCCGTGCAATGGAGAGCGGCCCCGTTCGGAAAAGCTACGTCAATTTCTAAATATTAGAATATAATATAACATAGGGGTAGGTTGGGGAAGAAAAGTACAGAACGCGTACTTTGCACTGTACAGAAGTTCCAAATGAGGATTCAACTATTCTGCTCTCGTGAACTTGTAATCCAATGCCTTCCTAATGAAATGGATCACTGTTCATTGATTATAGTTCCCCACATTACGTACAACATGCTTAAATGTATGTGATTTCGGAACTCCTCGAAAGGGGTAAGAAAAGTACGCCACCGGGAAAGATCCCGGTGCTGCTGCTGCTTTCGATGCTGATGGTGGAGGTGCTCGAGCTGCTGCTGCGGCTGCTGATGGTGGAGGCACTGCTGCTGCTGGTGTCGGTGTCGTTGCGGCGGCGCCGCCTCCTGCAGTGCCCGGCCGACATGTGACGTCGGGCGCAGGACTGGCTGCTGAAGCGACGGCCACAGCGGCGGCAGGCGGGGCGGATGTTTCGGTGCTTCACCTGCCGGTGTTCGTCCAGGCACCATTGGTACCTGAAATTCGCCGGGCAGGATGGGCAGTGGAATAGAATCTTCTCGTGGGTGGCCCGGACATGGCGCCGGACGTTGGCGGGGGTCGAGTAAGTCTTCCCGCAGACGGGGCACGGGTGGGCCATCGCTGCGGACTGGAGGCGTCTGGAAGCGGCGAGAGCTGGCACAGGACTGACTGCAGGCGGCCGGTTGTCCGCGGACGCGTGGCATGAATCTGGTGACTGGCACTGGGCGGTCGGCCGGGCGGCCGGCTGCAGGTGCGGTGTCAGCGGATTCCTTTGCGCCGCGGCCGGCTGGGAGTGCTGACGCAGCTGTGACAGCCGCGGCTGGAGGCCTCTTGTAGGTGGTAGGGAGTGGCGTAGCTAGGCGGGAGTCCGGCTTTGGGGTGTTCGTTGAATGTGCAAGTGCCGTGTTCAGTCGGGGGTGTGAGTGGGCCTTGGCGGAGTGGGCCTTGGCGCTGGTTATAGAGGGGGTAATCCGGGTTATGGGGGTTGCATCCGGCACCCCTGTGGCTTTCCATGCCGCAATGGAAGATGGTTTGGATATAACTCACTCGGCAGTGCATGTAGTAAGTCCATTGGGTCTTGTCCTTTGTGAAGACCGTGGCGGTGATGGTCTCAGCTGGCTGACGTGCTCGTGGGGTCGGGCACTCTCCGATCTCGGATAGGGCAGTCCGGGCGTAGGTCGTGGCGTTGCGGCAGTCGTAGGCGCTGAAGGTGGTGTCCGTGGCGGCTGGCTGCTGCTGGCTGGGCTCGGAGGTGATCAGCGGTGCAGCGGCTGCAGGTTGGAGCACGGCGGCGGCGGCCGCGATGATGACGATGCGGAGCACAGACATGTCGACTGTACGGGGCGGCTGGTTCACGGTGACTGAAGTGGCTGCTCGGGCAAGCGGTGGTCGGTGCTTGATGTTGTGGGTTGGCGCTGGTTGTTTGGGCGCAAGGTTCGGTGGCGTGGTTGCTGCAGATCGCAAGTGCATTCCTGCGTAGTTGCTAGGTGGGGTTACCGGTTTTTGTGCAAGAGGGATTCCAGCTTGTTCGTTCAGTGTTTTGATGGATGCCCGCCAGGAGCAAGTGGCCATACGGAGTGACTTCGTCTGGACTGCTCGCAGGCGTTTGATGAGGTAGGTACTGGTTTTGCCTGCCCAGGCAGGTGCACCGTAGGTGAGAATGGGCCGAATGTAAGTGGTGTACATGCGGACTTTGGTTGCCAGGGGGAGCCTGGATCTTCTGTTCCAGAAAGGGTACAGGACGGAGCTTGCTGCAATCGTTTTTTGTAGTGTTTTCCGGACATGTGTTTCGAAGGTGTGCGGTTTGTTAAACCAAACCCCGAGGAGCTTTGCTTCGGTGGTCCAGTCAATGGCGGTTGCGTCTACACTCTACAAAAAAAGTCCTGTCAACGCCGTTAATTTATTACCAATGTTTGCTGTTATGCAATTCACGGCGTTTGCTGTGAACTAGTTCACGGCGTTCACTGTGATCTCGGTTACAGTGTTCACTGTGATCTGGCCACAGTAAACGCCGTGAATTGAAGCCTGATTTGCAGTACTTCGGTGCTCAGTGGCGTCAAATTCACAGTGTTCACTGGGGACCAGATCACAGTGAACACCGTGAATAAGATCACAGTGAATCCCGTGAGCAGATCACAGTAAACGCTGTGAATTGACCTACAGTGAAAACTGGTAATAAATTAACGGCATTTACAGGACATTTTTGGTAGAGTGTATTTGAAGGTTGCCGTTGGGGTTGTTAGATTTCTTCCTTCGTGTGCAGAGAAGGGCTTGGGTTTTCCCGGCGTTGACAAGGATGCGATTGTTCTTCATATATGCGGTGGTTGAGTCGAGCTGTTGCTGGAGATTGCTCTTCAGGAGAGTGGCGCTGCGAGATGATGCGAAGATGGTTGTGTCGTCGGCGTATATGATTTGGTTTCCCGGGAGGTCCTGGATGTCGTTCAGGTATATGATGAGGAGTGGGCCGAGGACCGAACCTTGAGGGGTGCCGTTGGCCATGATTTTAGTAGTGGACTTGGAGGCGTTGACTTCTACGTGGAAGGGGCGGTTCTTTAGGTAGCTCTGGAGTAGTTTTATCAGGGCTGGGATGAGCCGAAGTCTGGCCAGTTTCCCGAAGAGGAGGAGGTGATTCATAGTCGGAAAGGCTTCAGTGGCGTCAAGGAGGACGGCCCCGAAGTTCTGAGTGAGGATAAGCGACTCTGTGATGTTATCAGAGAACTTGACCAGCGCTTGGGTGGTTGAGTGGCCGGAGCGGAATCCGAATTGGTTCGGGTTGATGAGGTTGTTGTTGGTGAGATGTGAGAGTATTCTTCTGTTGATGACTTTCTCGAAAATTTTGCTGAGGCCGCAGAGAAGTGATATGGGTCTGTGGCTTGCTGGGAGGGACAGGTCTTTACCTGATTTGGGAATTGGCTTGATCACTGCCAGCCGCCATTGGCGGGGGAAGTAGCTGATTCTCAGACAGGCGTTGATGTGCGTGAGTCTCAGGATTGCAGAGGCTGGTAGGTGTTTGAATGTTAGGTTATTGATTTTGTCTTTCCCAGGGGCTTTTCTGTTTTTCATCTTGGCGATGTAGCCGTTGATTTCTTCCGGCGTGACTTCTTGAACGCCGCCGTGGGGTGTGTTGTGCAGGTATTCCTCAACGACCGTTTGAGCGCGTTGGAGGTCCGCACGGGACCCCAGGTTGTCTCGAGGGTCAAAGTGTAGTATTCCAGTTGTCGGACCAGCAGGGTAAGCGGTCCAGGCAGCGACAGACTTCTTCTCATTCCTCTTCTTCGGGAATATGTTCAGACGAATGTAAACCTGAAATCCTTACCGATGCAGAGCTCCGACAGAAATGTTGCTTGCAATGTTATCATTCATATTCTTCTTCTCATTCTTTGCCTTCGCAAAATCTTTGTCTTACTTGATATCACAAAGAAAAGTGGACACACCTTAATTAATTGCACAAAAATTCCTTTTCGTTTTAAATTACTATTGAACTAAGTTGGACTTCCTAACTGTAGCTTAATTTGAGAATCAAGACTGCGGTACCTCTAGTTTCATAAGTTTAGTGTAGAGAGTTTTGGGGAGTTTTGATGTCCAATCTAGATTTTGATACAGTAATTTACCTCAGTGTTGGCCAACACATCTGAAAACTAATATATTTTATCAACGTTCCGTGTCCACAAAATGCGATGTCTTTCTTCTCGTTCGTTTTCTGAGTTGGAGCAATCTTAAAGCAACAGCGTAAGGAAGCGAAACTATCTTTCTATCGGGGTTATTTTAGGGTTAAGTTGCCCAGGGGCAGGGAATGGTAAACAGGATGTTGTATGAGAAATTAGGGACCAGCGAGTGTTTGTATGAAAATTAGGGGGGAAAAGTTCAAACAAAAGGGGAATACAGGAATATGAGCATTGATTAATAAGGGATTAAGTGGGAATTGATATTAG